CACCAATCAAATCAGTGAAAAAAAACATTTCAATAGGATTGAAAGCACCAAGTTGAAAAGAAAAGAGCAAGTGTGGCTTTCAAGCTTGTCTCTCCCTTGCCTTAAGCCTAGAGACTGGAGGTCGCAGCAGCTTGCTTGCTAAGTACGAACTAGTGCGGGGAAGCTCTTTGGTTAGGTGGAGCTTAAGATGCCTCCATTGAAGGCGATCGAAGCTGTATTTCGGGTAATTTAGTACCCGACCTTAGAGTTATCTTGTTGACATAAACTGGCTCCTCCAGGAAGTGGAGTGGGCCATCATCTTCGTCGAATACATCTATCGTGAGGCAAGAATAAGTCGCCATGTTCGATACAGCCACCTTCTTACACTTCTTTATAGTCTTCAAGAGTTCGGCGTCTATGGTTCCTTCATTTATCAGTCTTTTGATTTTGCGCTTCAGGGCAAAGCAATCTTGGATCTTATGCCCCAAAACCCCGTGGGAAGGGCAATATAGGGGATCCCCTACATGATCTGCTTCATGTGGACGCTTAGAGTCTGGCAACTCGATGAGATTTAGTTCTATCAATCCTTTGAATAAGCCATTTATTTCTTCGTCGGGAATTAAAACCTCGCATTTCTCCTTTAGAGACTTTGGAGGACTGTTTATTCTTTGAGAAGATTCAGCTTGAGCTTACTTTTCTTTAAAACTTTAGAAAACTTTAAAAGGGCTTCGCTAGAAGTTTATTTTGGTCTCATTTTCCCGTACCTGAAGTCCTAGGTCCCATCCCACAGGCTTATTTTGTATGTCTTCTCAAGAGTTCTATCCTCCTTTATCAGTCACTTTATCAACGACCTTAGATCGTCGAGTGATGTGACTAAGATAGTTATAAATATCTGTAGGTTTGGAAGCAAGCTCTTCAAAAGTGATGAGTCGTGCACCTTGTAAATATACCACCATGTGCGGTCGAAGATTGTTCATGTACATGCAAACTATTTCTGACGCAGTGATGGGTTGAGGACGATGTAAACTTAGATTCCTCCAGCGATTAATTGGAGAATAGCAAGATATCTTATTGTAATAGTTAGCTAATTCCTTCAAACCCGTCAAAGTCTCATATCTCCTTTTCCGCCTTTGTCCCTTTACCAGCTTGCTAACTCTCTTCCCTATAAGACCTCTACTTGAGAGTAGCCTAGGATGAGAGCTAGAAGGGATAAGATTTCTGCCTTCATTCCTTTGGTGATAGCTGTAGACACCAATCAATCGTTTGACCTTGTAAAGCACGAACACACTATCAGCGACGACGTATCGATGTCCGATACGTGTCGGACACCAGTACGTCTCCGACACTTTGTGAAACATGTCGGAGCCCTTGCGACATGTCGGAGACAAAATTAAAACAGACGATTGGAAGAAGACAAGGCTGGAATGGCTGGAAGAAAACAGAAAGACGGCTTGAAGAAAATGGAAACACGGCTGGAAAAAGAGAAGGCTGACTTTGAGAAGAAATGAAGAAAAAAATTAAGGAAGAAAAGAAGACAGTGACCGAATCTGAGAAGAAGGAAGAAAAAAAAAATGAAGTGAGGAAGAAAAGAAGAAGTGACGGTCGGGCTGACCTAAAAAGCTATACCTATTTAATTCAAATTTTTCTGCCCAATTGACCAAACATTAAATGCTATGTGAAATATCTTTTTCTAGAAGGTAGTTAGAATTTTTTTTACAACTTGGCCCTTCAGCACAACAAAAAGTTAATTTTTATGTGGATCAAATTTTTTATCATTTTATTTACCATTTTATCCTCAATAAAAAATAAATTTACAAAGGAAGTCAAAATTATGATGCAATAAGTATAAAAAAAATATTTAATTTAGACTATTAAATTAAAAAAATAAAAAATAAAAATATTTTAGTCAACGTGTCGACAACATATCGTGTCGAAACATTTTTAAAAAATCATGTGTCGATGTATCCGACATGTATCGATTCGGACACTCGTATCCGTGTCAGTGCTTCTTAGGTTTGACCTGGAAAGAGTAATAATTCTTTCAATTCTAGTCTTGGACGACCTTGAAACTACGGAGCAAGGGATCCTTTCTCTAATTCCTTCTCCAGAAGCCCATCAAAGGTAGGTCTATAGTGTGGGGATAAAAACCCATCACTTCCATTCATGCCTATTGAGGCACCGGGGGGAATGGACCGACACTGAATCCTCCTTCCAACTCTTATTATTCCCCCATTCCGTGGATTGCTTCCAACATAAAAACCGGTGGAGAAAAACTCAAGTCAATGCCTTACCAACTCCTTATCGACCTTCAAATCTCTTATCTAGACAGGATAAGAGCAAACAAGCCCCCTATTGTCTATTCCTATTCCTGGCTCACTGTTAGTGGGTATTAACTAGACCTATTCTCATAGGAATCTATTGGTGCTCTCGGCATAGGAAGTATAGTCAGTTAACCCAACACCTATCAAAACATCCATTGAAATTTCGGCCGCCAACCTCCTTGTGTAGTTCTAGTTGATTCAGAAGTTTCAAGCCCAAAATGCCATAGGGAAATATATCCACGGAAAAGCTATTAGGGAAAGATTATTGAGTAGGGAAGTCATTCAGTATCTCTACTATGCTCACTCCCCACTAGATAGCAAGAAAGCAATGGCCGATTAGTCGCATCTTTCTTCTCTCGGCCCAAGGATAGCTATTTTCCATGCTCTTACCAATTTAAGCGACTTCTACATTTTGCGAACTGCACCTGGTCTAGGATCAAGGTTCTTAGTCGTTCAAGATGTCGATGCACCATCGAGTCGACCCGCAACTGGTTCGATGCAACTTAGTTGATTTATACCAGTATTCGTATT